ATATAATTATTATGTGTCAATTAAAAATAGAGTACAACTTTTTAAAAAGGAATATTGTCCTCAACTTGGAAATGCATGGAGGAGACCACGAGCACCCTTCCGTGGCATGCTGTGTTGTGAGGTGGCCCCTGGGTGGCTACCAGCCCTGGCCTGCGTGCGCCTCTCACTGACCACTCCAGCCTGGCTGCCCCAGCTCTGAGGGTGGAGGTGGCCTGGCAGCTGACCAGTAGGGAGGTGGGGGGCTTTTGGCTGAGCAGTGTTACAGATTCCTATGCATAGTAGTGCAAGAAGAGTTTGTTAAGAGATACAACTGACAGTTTTCTCTGCCTCAGAAAAAAGAAAACTTCTAAGTGGGAGCGGCAGCTGAGCATGGCAGCTGATTGCACTTCGGGTGTTCCCTGGGCTTGCATGTGTTAGCAGCCTCTTTGCAACATTTGTTTAGCTGGATGGTTGCTTGTAAAAATCCGTCCATACTGTCCTTTGCACGGGCGGTATCCACCCCTGCCTGCTCTTCTGAGGCTCTTTTTCAGTGTGCGTGGATCCTCTGGTTCCCCCCGCCCATGGTAGCAGTCTTGCTAAAGTGGCTTAGTGAGAATTTCCTCACCCTCTGTGTGCTCACCCATCACTGGCGATGCCTAATCCCTGGCCTAGGTTTAGCAAGACTCCTGTAAGACCAGTTTAGTGACAATTCCCTTACTCTCCAGGTCTCCGCTTAGTAATTTTCCACCCACTCACCAGCACCTTGCTCCACAAGGGCCATAAATCTGTCTTTGTTGAACTGGAATTGAGCCTCGTTTCTCTCCTGTTGCAAATCCTATTTGCAGTAGTTTGAATGATTTTCTTTATTTTAAACAAATGTCAGAATAAATTTATTCTTCAACATCATTAATTGACACACGTGCATTTTGCATTTAAGTGAGCCATTGTTTTGGTTAGTGAGATACATTTTCGCAAGTCCCCTTAGTGAGACTGTAATTGGCAGCCCACTTGAACCCTGCACTGTTTTATTACTTTGCTTTTGTCTTCTCAAAGCTGGTACATTGGTGCTGATTATCTGCTTCTTTAGCCAATCAGCACACCAGGACAGGCTTTGGACTCTAAAACTGCAGTAGTGGAAGTTTCCACGGACAGACAGATGGACAGATGGGTGGGCGGATGGGTCACAGAGTGGCTGAATGATAAAAGGATGGGTGCACGGACGGATGGGTGCTTGGTGGATGGGCGAGCGCGTGGATGGGTGCTTGGTGGATGGGGGTGGTGGACGGGTAGATAGGTGGGTGGACGTATAGGTGGGTGAGTGAATGGCCTTTGGACCTGGAAGCCAGCTCAGCGCTGTTCTGCGGGGCAGACGGCGGCCTGACCGGAAACTGACTCTACCCGCGGTGCAACCGCGATCTGGAGTTTGGCGGCTCGCCCACCGCCCACGTCTTTGGCGGGAGCCCCCCGCCCTCCACGCCGGGATCTAATCGCTTCCTGTGTCAGGAACAGGCGCGGAGAGTCCGCTTAACAGGGCGGCGAGGAGACACATCTCCCGCTGCTCCGCGGGGACGAACAGCGCGACTGCAGATCGGTCCGGACGGCGAGAGCACCCGGGAACGGGTGCTTCGCTTTCCACCGGCATCGTCCTGCACTTGGGGCGGGCGCCCGGCTGCCTTTAGGGCTGGGCTTTAATTTGTGATGTCGGGAGTTGAACCCTGGGCATTCTCCTCGACCTACATCTCCAACTCTGATTTTTCAATTTTTGAGACCGGGTCTTTAAATGGTTAGGTTGTCCAAAAGACGCTCGAACCCGCGACCCTCCTATCTCGACCTCCAGTCAGTCGCTCGGAGCTCGCGGCTGGGCTGGCTTTAGTTCCGGCGCCGGGCTGGCCTGGGTGCAGAGTGCAGGCCGCGTAGCGTGCAGTGGGCGCCGGGTGTCAGGATGGCCGAGTGGTCTAAGGCGCCAGACTCAAGGTATGAGCCTTACCCGTGGGTGTTCTGGTCTCCGTATGGAGGCGTGGGTTCGAATCCCACTTCTGACACAGTCTTTTTTTTTTTTAATCTCCCCTTTGAAGCCGGGCGCCTCCTTCATTTTTACGATGAGCTCGCTCCGCCCCTCGCTCTGTAGGCGGCGCCGGCTCCTTCATTCAGCTCGCACTGGCGAGCAAGTAACAGCGCCTCCCTGGTGGTCTAGTGGTTAGGATTCGGCGCTCTCACCGCCGCGGCCCGGGTTCGATTCCCGGCCAGGGAAGCAGTTTTATTTTCTTCCCAATGATGATACAAGATCCTGTGCTGCTGGACGAACCCGACCACCCCTCGCTGCTCCTGTTCTAAGACTTGGGTTCGCTGGGCTTGTCACCGCAGCTTTCCGGAAAGCTGGGGCAGGGCGATCCCAAACTCAGCCTGGTCGTCATAGCCACAGAGTGAGAGCCTCCCTGTCCAATGCGGGTGGATGGGGCGCAGCTCAGCACACAGGTCCTGGCAAGGGGACAGAGGAGGGGAAATTCTACCTGACCTGTACATTTGCGTTTAAAAGGTGTCTGATCTTCCAGCTGAAAAGTAAGGAGCCTATAAACATGAATGCACAAAGGGCGAGAGGAAAAACCAGGGACAGACGCCCACAGGTGCTGATTTCCTACAGTGCTTGCCTTGTCAAGTTTTAAGCTTTGTGTGTCATCATTTTATGTATTTACTGAATTTTCTCCCCCACGAATATAAAATTTATTGGTAGAAAATTTGTAAAACTACTTCCATCTTGTATAAAAGTTAACTCCAAAGTAACCCTAGATTTACACATAATATATGAAACTATAAAACTTGCAGACAAAAATAGCAAATCTTCAGGACCAAGCACTTGGTGAAGAGTGAGGCAGCCCGCAGGAGAACACGCGTTAAACCCGAGCTGGCTGGGATTCACACCCCCTGTGAGACCTCTCCAGGAGGATGCAGGAGGATGGGGCAAGAAAGGCCTCTCACCTAGGGTCCAGGGAGATCTCCCTCACAGCAGCGGAAAAGCACACATTCCACTGGAAGTTCAAACGGATGAGAGAACATATTTCACCACAGAAATGTGGAAAAGGAAGCTGGAGAGTGTCGAAGCACAAGTTAAAGCCACAAAGGGATTCTAATTTGATCTTATCAGAATGGCCCGGATGAAGCATACACTGCCAGATGCGGGCCAGAGGGCCAAGACACCCGGAGGAGGCATGAGAAGAGTGTGCTAAGAGACCTGGCCTTCACACCCCTTGGCATTTGTCCCCAGCAGTAGGAACTGTATTCCCACAGAAATGCACGCAGGGATGTTCCTTGCATTGTTTATGACAGCCCCAAACTGGATAGAACCCGAAGTCCCTGTTCATTCAAGCGAGCGGTGGTACTACCAGGCCACAGAGTGCTGCTATGTAACTCCAGTGGGGTGGTCTGGCTGGAATGCTGGCGCTGTGGGAGGCTGAGGCAGGAGGGTCACGAGAGCTAGCTAGCTTGAGCAGCTTAGTGAGACTGGTCTCAATAAATAAAATGAAATAAAAAAATAAAATAAATCAAACTCCTAAGTTGAATCCCCTGGATTTAATCCTCAGTACTGATTTTTAAAAAGCTACTTAGCAATACACACAAACACATCAATTGATACAGCAGAGAGCCTGACAGACTTGGGATTACAGCCTTGGCAGTCCACCTCCAGAGCTCATGAACAGCCTGGTGTGGTGGGGTATGCCTACGAGGCGAGCCTTCAGAGGCTGAGGCAGGCTGATGGCCAGAGTTCAAGGCCAGCCTGTGCTACATAGTGAGACCCTGCCCCAAAACAACAAAACAAAGGACACCACAAGACCTCCCAAATGCATACGTAACAGCCTTGAATCTGGTAACGATAAACACAGTGTTGGGGCCAGGACGTGGGGGATGTGCTTATAAGGAGGCGACACAGGGAGATGACTGCGTGACGGAACTGTTCTGGGTTTTCACTGTGTGGGCCTGTGAGCCTCCTGCCTCAGCCTGCCAGAGGGCTGCGGTTCTAGGTGGGGGTCACGCCATTGAGACAGGGTCACACTGTGTAGTCTAGGCTGACCTTGACTTCACAGCCTCCTGAGAGATGGCAGGCGGGTACCACCATGCCCAGCCATAATTATTTTTTAAATTATTGCTCCCTCCATAATAGGTAGCAAGAGACTGGGGAGACAGTGGTGGTGTGGGGCTGCGGACCGGTAAGACAGGGAGGAAACTGGGTGGAGGAGTTTCTGCCAGGAGGAACAGGTGCCTGAGGGCCATCCGTGTACCCGGCAGGACTCTCTGAGTGTGAGGCACACTGCCCTGTGCCAGAGCCATTTCCTGGGCTGTTTCTGTGAGCAAAGCTGAGGGGTGAAGTAGGTCTACCCCACCCCATCCTGTGAGCAGACCGCCGGGAGAGTTCCCTGTGCTCAATACTCCCCAGCTCGCGGGAGACCCCTGAAGCCCTCTCCTGGTCTCCTCAGTCCCTGGGGACATGGGCTGTCCATGATGCTGACCGGGTCATGATCCTACCTAGGCCCTTTGTCCCTGACCCATGAGGCGTGTGTGTTCTGTTAGCTTCCATTGACCCCTGGCAGGCTGGCACATCCACCTGCGGGCAGGTCCAATGTCAGCCCTGGTATGTGGCATGTGGCATGTGGCATGTGGCATGTGGCACATGGTACATACTCCCACCCGCAGTCCCAAGGACAAGAGAACTAGCTCAGCTATTTCTGAAGGCCTCCTCTGGTGATGTGTAGTGGGCTTGCCTCTCCCTGCGGGCCCTGGGTGACCAACACACAGCCCAAGAGGGCCCTTGGAACAGAACTCAGGGCAGGGGCATTGCCGTACGACGGGCCTCCCAGCCGTCGGCCTCAGGGTTCTGCCTATTCATCTATCTGTCCATCTGCTTCTTCACTTCCTAGGGCTGCCAGAAGGGAAGACCTGGACATGGGGAAGTCACAGCCCTAGGCACCCCGAAAACATCATTCATTCAGATAACATATTCCTTGCTGGATGTCTTGAAAGCAAATTGCTAATTGTCTTAGGAGCACAAAAAGAATAAGACAGAGCGGTAGAGCCTCAAAGAAGTGAGAGGATTTGGAAATATATTTGAAGTTAGGTTCACATGTGCATCACCTTGGATGGCATCTGTGACCAGCATGAACTCAGAGCCAGTGTTCCTGCCCCACATACAGAGTGGCACGAGACACGCACACTGCGGTGGTCATAGCAGCGCGGCTCGGCAAGGAGCACGCTGTTAGCCATGCAGCTGCTGCCAGGTAATGAGGTTCCCAAGTTCTAGGAAGAGTCTCAGGGTGGACATGGGGAAGGGTGCTGGGCCAGACTGGGCTAAAGGAGCAGGAAAGAACAGAAGACCAAGGCAGGGGACTGGAGTGCGAGGAGCTGGCCTTCAGCACCAGACTGTAGGATCTGCAGTTGTCCACCTGACTGGCTCTGGGGTCTGGGAAGGTGGTGGAGCGCGCTGTGTCTGGGTGGGGCAGGGAGGGGTGGCCTGGGGGTCCCCATGCCTCCTTGTTGTATAGTTCCCCTGCTCTGCACCCAGCTTTGGTTCACTGTGCTCTTCCACCATGTGGTTTTGCTTTGAAGTCACAGGTGTGGGTGCCGTGTCTCAGTGGTGAGAAAGCTAATAATAGCTGCCACCCAGAGCAGAGATGAAGCACTTGGTGGCAGCCTTAAATTCAGCGCACATTTTACTGTTCTAATGACCATGTCAGGAGTCCCTGTGGTGGAGATGCTGTCAAGGCATGGGTGAATAAATGTCCCAGAGACTCTACCCTTTGGCCTGTGGTGGCACCTCTCAGTCTGGTATCAGTGGGCAGAGGTCAAGATGAAGTGAGACAGTGAGACCTGAGACTGTTCCTGGTGAACCTGGGTGACCGGCCTTCCTCTGGTGCTGTCAAGCTGGCTACAGCTCATTTCTGGAGGAGGGCTCCTTGGAGTCACCGGGTTCCCCTTTCCCTGCCAGGTCTGCAGCCACCTGGATGCTCTTGGCTGTCCTAAGCCCAGACTTGATGGCCGTGTCGATCCAGCCATGGGGCAGGGCTGTGTGCTCGCCTGCAAAGTGGACCCGGCCTTCCGGCCGGCTGAGCTCCTTGGCATAGTCCACATATTGGTAGGGAGTGAAGAAGGTAAAGCCGCCCATGGAGTAGGGGTCAAGGGCCCAATTTTTGACAAAGGAATAAGGGCACAGGGCCTGGAGCTCCTCTTTGGGGCAGTCATGGATGGCAGACAGGTCCTCCAAGACGATACTCACCACCTGCGCATGGTCCATGGCAGAGAAGAACCTGGCATCGTCGTCCAATGTGTAGGAGGCCAGGATGACACCCACGCCATTGGGGAAGATGTGGTTGGGGTAGTAGATGAAGCGAGAGGGCCGGTCGGTGACGGACTTGCCGCTGTAGATGCCGTCACGCTCCCAGAAGCGCTGTGTGCAGGCCAGGATCACTTTGGTGGCGCTGTTGTAGTGGACCAAGCGCAGCGCATCCTCCTTACTGTGAGACAGGGGTGGCTGGAAACGAAGGAGCCGGGCGGCCTTGGCAGTGGTGGCCACCACCACAAAGTCAGCAGTCAGGTGTGCCCTGGGCTGCAGAGGGTCGGGCGTCCGGTAGATGATGTGGACGCCGTCTCTGAAAGTCTGCACCTCCTCCGCCGGTGAGTGAAGCCGCACTGTGCCTGGCTTGAGGGCATTGTGTAGGGCCTGGGGCAGCTGGTCGAAGCCCCCAATGATCTCCTGGAACCTGAGAGTGAAAAGGAAGTGGAGGAAAGGGTATGGTAGAGGAGGTGCTGAAGCCCCCACTTGGACCACATGTCAGGGAGGCCATCAGAAGGCAAAGGGACTGGTGCCTGGGTGGCGGCTCGGCTGATGGAGCAGAGAGAGGCCCTTCCTGCTTTGTGCTGACCCAACAGGAAAATGCAACAGAGCTTGCTGGGCCATCCTGTGCCCAGTTTGGGCTGGCAGAGACTCTGGGAGGTGCTTGGGCCCCTCTGCCCTGACTCTGAGGGCCCAGTGCAGGTCCCCCAAGAGCAGCCTCATTCCCTCCCTGTGGAAGCACTTAGCTTGAATCTCAATGGACTAACCCCAAAGCCCAAGGCCAAGGGGCTGGTGGGAGGAGGCCTGCAGCCTCAGGGATGCCGGCCAACACAGGCGCCCTCTCCCTTAGATGGGCTGAAGCCTGAATCACCACGGTCACTCAGTTCATCTCAACAGCTCCAGGTCCTCGAGCAGCCAGAGCCTGAGGTAGGGTGGGTTCAGGGATGAGCACACTGGAGCATTTTCTTGAGCTAAAAGCCCTATAGTCTGTGTCATAGGAGAATGACTCTGGTTCTGACTGTCCTCTTGCCAGGGGTTCTCAGACTGGGGTTCTGAAAGGTACCACTGGGACACAGCAGAGGGGGGTGTTTTCAGGCCCTGGCTCTGTGGGTGGTGACACGTGTACATGGAAGGAGCACCCTCTGCCCGGGCTCACTGGAATTTGGAAAGCTCTGCCCACCTGTCCCAGTGCCCTGGCTATTACTTCTTTAGGGATGGCCACCTGGTTTATTTCTTCCTTCTTTGAGGTAGAATAGAAGAAATAAATGTAGGTGGAAAGGAGACAGGGAAATGGGAATTTTGGTTGGCTTTTTGAGACAGGGTCTCACTAGGTGACCCAGGTTGGCCTGAACTCACAACAGTCCTCCTGCCTCAATCTCCAAGAGCTAGGGATGAAAGGTGCATGCCACCTGGTACAGTGGAAACTGGAATTTTAAAACTGTGAGTTTAAAAAGAACTGCAGTTGGGGCACAAAAGTCAGGACACAAAGTTACTCAAGCCCCTTCCCTTCCAGGGAACTTGGAAAAAGATTTCTGAAGGGCCTCGAAGACACAGCGAGGCTGTGAAGGGGCCTCTGGGCCTGAGCTTTCGTGGCGAGCGATGCTGCCGGCCTCGGTCTCCACCCTCGAGGAAGCAGTGGTACCAGTGAGCAGCCGGACACCCAGGCACGTGGTCTGCACGGAGACCCAGCCCCAGACAGGGGGCTGGACAGGCGGCAGGACGCACACCCCGCGTCGCCCATTAGGAAGTCACCGTAAGCCCCATCAACATACCCAACTCCAGACCTTAGGGCTCCTAGAGAGCCCACTGTCTGGTGATTTGTGTCCTTTTCAGTTTGTGCCCAGTACATCCCCTTATGTCTCTTACGAAGCCACCTCCTAGGGGACCTTCCATCCTCCCCAGGGACCAGCCAGCCTGTGCCCCACCTCCGCCACCCCATTGCCCACCGGGGCTCGTGGAAGAACAAGATGAAGCCGCGCAGCGTCTCCACGAAGGCCTCGTAGTAGCCAGAGTCAGCGTTCAGCAGATCCCCGATCATCTGCACGGCTCCGCGGCTCAGGTTCCCCACCTTGATCAGGTACTCCTGGGTTGCGGGAGAGAAGGCGGCGTCAAGTGGGGCAGCCTCCAGGGCCCGCTGCCCCCTGTGGCCCAGGAAGGGATCCGGGCCCCCTGGGGCACAGTGCTCAATTCCGGGCAGAGACATCGGTGAGGGGGTCGGCTCGGCCTTCACCCCGCAGGCAGGCAGGCCTTTCTCCCTTGAGCCTCCTCTGCGTTAACTTCCTCGGGGAGGAGGGAGGCACCTTGAGGCCACTGGGCAGCAAGAGCAAGCCAAAAGGTAAAGGAGAGGCAAGAGGACAATGGGCCTTGGTGAGCAGAGAGGCGCGAGGAGGAGGGCGGGGAGGCCGAGGCCAGAGGAGAAGCGTGGGGCCGGGTCCTGCGCAGGCCAACTGCCCGCGAGGAGTGAGGTCACCACGGGCTGGAGACGTGGACCTGAACACGGTGTTTGGAAGGACGGGGCTCTGAGGCCGGGCTCCGCGCAGCTGTGGGGACAGCTCGGCTGCTCAGCAGCCGGGGAGAAGCCAGAGTGCCAGCGCTCCTGCTCCCCGCTCTGGGCCTTTCTCTCCCCGTCGCCCATGTCCTGCTTTCTCTCTCCATGAGGGACAGGGAGGTGCTGTGGCACCCATCAGCAGCAACTGTGCCTTCGCTTGGGCCCCTGGTGCCACCGCAGTGGTCTGAAGGTGCTTCAGGGGCAGCTGCGGCTGCCGTCCAGTGCCGGTGGGACCTGCCTCTGCACACTGACTCAACAGCGCCGCACCTGCAGGGCACGACCGTCCCAGGCAGAGCCGCGTCAAGGAGAGAGCTAGGAAGCTGGCTTGGAGGGGCAACACCACGGCTCGGCACTCTGGAGGCTAAGGCAGGAGGGCCCTGAGTTTGAGCCCAGCCAGGGCAACTTCACAAAAAAGTAAGACTCTGCCTCAAAATCAAAGGTGAAAAAGGGTGGGGGAAGTAGCTGGTGCAAAGCCCTGGTTCCCAGCAATCTCCAACAGCGCCTAAAAGAAAAGTGCTTGGGGGCAGGCTGAGTGTGTAGACTTCCACGGCAGGACATAGAGGTGTGTGGTGGTAGGGACTTGGGGACCCAGAGCACCAGAGTCCCCAGCCCCCATGGCACCTTCCCCTGCTTGGTCTGCACCTGAGGACACATGGCTGACCTCACAAAGCTGAAGCAACAGCCCAGAGGGGAAACCACAGCCCTGTTGGCCGCATTTGCTCAAGGACCATCTGCTTCTGCTTTTCACACCCCCTCCCCACCCTGCTCTCACCTCAGGACCTCAGAAGAGCCAAACGTGCTCTCCGCCACCTGCATGGCACCCTTCAGCGCCCGCAGCTGCCCAGCAGGGCTCAGTGAACCCTCCCCTGCGGGGCTGTGTGCCTGTTGGTGGTGCTGGGATCCAACCCAGGCCTTGCCCCAGTAGGGCCATGCAGGCCCCTGCGCTTCCTGCAGCACAGCCTCCCCACTTTCTGGGGCCCCAGGGCCTGTGTGAGGGTGTCCCACCAGCACTCCCTGTCCCACAGGGCTCAGCTGTCACCAGCTGCCTCCCTGGGGTCAGTGGTGCTTTTGCACAGCTATGAGTCACAGAAGGGCACACACTTCTGTCCCTGCAAGTATTGGGTTGGACACGCCCTAGTGTGAGGGTCAGAGCTCTCATGTGGCTGAGGAGGCAGAGTACAAGAGGTCCCTCAGAGGCCCCTCAGTGTCGGGCTGTGGTGCTGCCCAGGCGGTCCCCAGGAGCTGTGACAGGGTGAGGCTGACCTTGGTGGAGAAGGAGTCGTATTTCTCCAGCACCCGGCTGCAGCTGCTGCTCTTCAGCTCTTCGGAGACCTGAGGGAGAAGGGGGAGGGAAGGGAAGGAGTAGGGAGGGGAGGAGGGAGGACCCCGGTGAGGCCAGGCCACAGTATTGCCCGCTGGCCCTGGGGCCCTGGGTCCGCTGCTCTCAGGGCTCCACTGTGGTGAGCCCAGGCCTGCAGTGCCCACAGGACTGGCGAGCTCGGAGGGCGGAGACGCCATGTCCCCTCTCGGGTTACTATCAGGTCCCGACAGTCTCAGAAGTCTCAGAAAGGAATGTCCACGCTTTGTCCTGTGTTGGGGACTCTCTTTGGTTTTGCACCAAGAATCTTTAGGTTTAACGAGTACTTTATACCTCATTTGTAATGAACCACAAATATAGAGTGTGGGGGAACAGTATAACAATCACAAAATGCAGCATCTTTTAACTAATTAGGTGTCTGAAAAATACAATATTTAGGTAAAAATAATAAAATTATGAGACAAGCTGCGGCTAAGTTGATTAAATGCTGGTCTGTGAATTACTACAAAGGATGAGTTGGGGGAAGTGGGTGCGGAATGAATCGGGTGACATAAATCGCATCACTAGTTTTTCTTAAGTGCCATCGTAATGCTGCCTACTGATACAACTTTTTCTTGTTTTATAAATATAGTACTTCCAAACCAAGTGCCCTGGTTGCTGTCATTTGCATATCTGTGTTGGATGGGGACTTCTTCATGGTCCTGAGGCTGTCTTGAAAAGTGGGTGACTGGGCCAGTCTGAAAGCAGGGCAGGGTTCGAGGCCGAGGCCCACGACTCTGTAGGGGACCTGCAGGCCCGCTGTCCCAGCGATCACCTGAGGTCCCACTGGGCTACGGGCCACAGAGGTCAGAGACAGTGTTCATGCTGGCCGGCCTGGGCTCGGCTTGGCTCCTGAACCATGCACCTCCCATCAGGACAACTTGGATCCATGCTCTGGCTGTGACCCGGCACGTTCCTTACAATCTCTCGCCTCACCCTTCGTCTGTCCTGGCAGCTGGGAGAGGACTCGGGCAGTGGGGCTTCTCTGTGAAGCAGGGCAAGGCAGTGGCAGGAGTCCTGCCTGGTCATCCAGTGTGCTCAGGTATTCCTCTGCCTTAAGCCAGGACCTGTTGCAATTTCAGGGCCCGAGGCTTGGACTTGGCTGCCCAGGTATGGACATCTGGGATCCCAAAATGCATGGTGGCACAGGGTCAGGAGGGACAAGCCCAGGCTGGCAGTCCCCCCCCCACCCCGCCCTGGGTCTCTAGGAGGCTCTCCAAGACAACTGTGAGCAGCAGAGTGTTCTTGGGGCACATGAGAACCTCAGCTGCTCCCACCTCAGCTCACCTTCCTCAGGGACTCGTTGAAGAGTTCTTCTGCTGTCTTTCCAGCCTCGTGGGCTCTGACCTTGTAGCCCAGCAGGTCGGGGTTGGCCTGCACAGCCCCCAAGCGCTGCCGCACCCTATTCACCAGCACCCAGGTCTGGTTATCAGAGGGGCAGAAGTCTCTGAGGGGAAGTCCAAACTTCTGGATGAACTCTCCAGACAGCCTGTGTGGGGAGAGCGGGTGGTGGGGCTGGGACAAGAAGCCACTGCCTCCCCTGTTCCTGGAGTTGAGGCCACCCCTTGCCTATACAAGGGAGCGAGGGTCCCAGCTGCTGTTCTGGGCTGACTGCCACATGGCCAGGAGGGTCCTGACCTTACGGTGATACCACATCTCCTGGCCAAGGCCTCTGTCACTTCATTGGAGACCTGAAGACTTCAGACCTCTAGGTGTGAGCACTCAAGGTCCTGCATGTCGGCTGAAGGGAGCCCAGCAATGTCCCTTGGACTCACCCCTTCCAGTGGCCCAGCTGACTCCAGGGCACCCCGGGGATCATGCTCTCTCACTTCTCATCAGCAGCAGACCCTCCTCCCCAGAGCTCTCGTTGCCTTTGGCACAGTGTCCCGAGTGGGCTGGGCAGGTATGTCCAGCCCAGTACACAAATGAAAGCATTCAGACTGGGAAGTTTCCGGGGAGCCCTGGAGCTGGGGAACGAGTTGGGATGGACCCTAAACCCTCGGCCTCCAGGAGAGGATGCCGTCCCTTGTTGTCCTCTTGACCTCTGTGCTGAGAGCCCCAGTCCCAGGCTCCTTACCCATCCCCACTTCGCACCACCCTACCTGTGGTTCACAGGGATCCTCATGGCGCCCAGCTCTATGTACCAGTCCGCTCCAGGAACTCGGTGGGTCTCTATTCTGCCACCCACATGCCCTTTGGCCTCTAGTACAGTCACCTGGAAAGAGACTCCTGACTAGAGGTGGCTATCACACCCTTTGACCTCCCAGGCAGGGGCTAGCTCTTCCCCCTTTGTGCCCTTCTGCGGTGTTTCTCAGCTGTGGCATCAGCCACCTGCTCTCCCACCCCTTCAGACCTGTTTAAGAGCTCAGCCTGGCTTCTGTCCCCATGTCCTAGGGCTGTCCACTGCCAGTCCCCACCTCCCTCTCAAACCTGAGATCCCACAGGACTCCCAGACCATGCGTACCTGGTGGCCAGCATCCTGTAGTATCTTGGCCGTCGTGAGCCCAGCCATGCCTGCTCCAATGACCACCACCTTTCGGGCGTTTGCTGTGCGCCCCAGCCCCTTGCGAGCCAGCTGCAGCAGTTCTCCATACTGGGGATCCTCAAAACACTTGACCAGCTGGGGGTCGAAGGCCTGGGTCCATGGGTTCAGCACACTCAGGAGGGCGAGAGCCAGCCACCCTGGGGACATGGCTGTGGAGACAGCAGTCAGGCAAGTTCCTGGGGACAGAGACAGCTTGCCTGAACGCTTGATCTGAGCAGGATTTATCACTGACCTGTGATGCAACACCTGGCACTCCCGTTTCCTTCCTCCCCTATCTTGCTGTGCATTAGTCATGGGGTTCCCTGGCCAGCCTCCATGGGCTCCAAGGCCAGTGATGCTCCAAGGGACCAGTGCCCCCAGGCAGGGTGAACCTGTCCCAGGGACCTGCCCTCCCCCCGGTCAGCTGGGCTACTACACAAGAGGTTGAGCACAGCAGAAGAAGGTGTGAGGGTTTATATCTAGCTGCCCTGAGCCTTGTGCAGTCAGGCCAGGCTTGTGCAAAGTGATGGGTTATGTGGGCTCAAAGGGCTGTGCTGTCAGGAGGGGCTCAGCTGGAGTGTCCCTGGACGTGAGGTCGGGATGGGCACCTCTGCCTCCCTGCTCCTCCTGACTCCCCCTGGTTCCTGCCCACCATGCTGTGAGCTGCTCTCCTCCGCCAGGCCCCTCTGCCATGCCGCACTGTCTTGTAGCTGGCATATTATGAACTGACATCTGTAGAGCCAAAGTGAACCTGACCTCTTCAAGTTGTGGGTGTCTGGCATGTGGACAGCGACAAGGAAAGTGACTAATAGCGCAGGTGAGGCTCCTCTGCCGCGAGCTGGGTTTGTGGCAGTGAGGAAAGCCTGCCTGCAGTTGTAGCAGGACCAGGTGAGGGGGAGGAGCCCGGAGACGTTGCTTAACAAACTGACCTCTCTGAGCCGTGCCCAGTGAGCTACGGATTTCTCGTCACAGGGGCTACTGTGGGCCACCAGAGCGGCCCAGGCCTGGTGCTTTTGAGGAACTCACCACATTCTGAGCCTCAATTTCCACTCATGCCTCCGAGGGCTTCGCTCCCCCTGGTCGGCCCTGGGGCAGACATACCAGGCCTCCCTGCCCCAGTGTGTAAAATGTGCATGTTTTAGGACTGTTCTGTTTTTGTTGTTTTCCTTTAAAACTACCATCTGCATTTGGGGCACAAATACAACCTCTTCCCAACACTTGCAAGTCGAAGCCTTAACCCACAGGAGCCCTACTGAGAGCGGGTGGCCTTTGTAAAGGCGACTGGGAACAGAACTCTCCAGGTGGATCCTAGGCACTGCCTGTGAGGGGAAGAAACTCAGGGGAAATGCCGTGAGGGCTGGAAGAGGACGAAGCAGCCTACAAGGCCAAGGGAGCGAACCTAACCCTCACCAGAAGCCGGACCTACCAGCCACATCTGACCTGGACCTCCAGCCTCTGGCCGTGGTTGTTCTCTGCTGTTGAAACCTCAAGTCTGTGGGGTGCTGTGATGTCAGCCCAAGGTGACTGGCAGTCTATGCCTTTGCCTCGTGTCCATGGTGGAGAAGCGATGGGCTCTTGCTGGACCTTCTTGGATCAGACTCATTGCTACAGCTCTTTGAAAAATGTATGCATCCATTTTCCTACTAAGTTGCTGTTATTTGCTTTTTGACACAGGGTCTCACTGTATAGTTCAAGCTGGTCTTAAACTCATTATGTTAGGTCAGCCTCAACCTCAGATCCTCCTGCCTCAGCCTCCCAAGTGCTGGAAGTACAAGTGTGTGCCACCACACCTGGCTCATTTTCCTTGTAAGTCCACACAGCTCAGTTGCAGATGTACACAGCTTGCTCCAATTTCAAGATTCATCTTTAGTTGGGGTCACTTTCTCCTAGCCTAGGACAGGACCTGGGGCAGGCCCTTGAGGCCCTCCTCCTGATACTTGGCTTTGTGGCTGCCCTGTTCCCAGCCCTACTGGGTGTGGTCTCCAGTTTGAGCAGTCTGGTGGCCTGACCCCTTGGGCTTCTTCGTCCTTAGGGGAGGCTTGTCCCCATTGCCGACCTGACGACTTTAACCCTGGTTTGTCTGGTTCATTCCCCGTCACGTGGTTGGATGTGATGAGCCTGGCGCCAGCCTCAGGTGGGCGGCCGTGGTCTTCCAAGGTTCTCCTTTTCTTTCCATCGCATTGCTCCGGTGCGCAGGCAGAGGCCACCCCAGACCTCCCCAGGGGTGGGTATTCAGCAGCACATCTGATCACCCAAAGGAGGGCTACAGGTTATCGGCTACTCTGTCCCTGTACAAGGCAGCAGACCCAGGTCACCAAGGAAGCACACCCTTCCTTCCTCCCTGGGAGGAGATGGCCTCCTGGGACTGCCCTGCACGCACTGTTCCCTGACTCATTCTCGGGTCCGCTGCCTCCCTCTCCGGGAACGAGATGTTTTACATATTTCCTGGAGAGACATATAAGAAGTATCTGCCTCTGTGATGAGAGGGCCCTGCGGCCTATCCTGGCCTGGGGTTACCATGGGTTCTGAGGATGTCGGCTTATGGGCCAAAGAGCCCCTGAAGGTGCCATCTCCGCCTTGTGAGGCCGTTGCTGGCACCATAGGGCTCGAGTCAGGAAAGCAAGAGGCAGCAAAGGCCTGTGGGCACTTGGGAGGTCATGTGGTCTCTGTCCTTTCCCAGCCTCAGGGGGCTCTGTGGTCTGGACAAGGGCCAGCTGGCGGGGGCAGGAGACACACAGCAGCCACAGTGACAGAGCGACCAGCACCAAACAGTGTGGGGTCCTTTAGGTTCACAGGACAGGCCTCACCACATCTGTGTCCTGTCTTCAGCCAGAAATCAACCCCTGCTATCCAAGCCTGGCTCCCAGGAGCACGCAGCCCAGCTGGGGAGTAGAGTTGTAGAGATGGACAGATGGATAAGCTGGTGGGTGGAAAGATGCGTGGACAGAGGAGTGTGCAGGCCTGCGGGAGGAGAGGGATACTGACACAGGATTTGGGCCCGAGGTGTGATCCTGCAGCCCTTGTGGCTCCCCACGGTTCCAGGTGCCAGGGCCTCACCTGGGCCTGGCCTCTCCCATGGCTCTTCTGCCCCTCTTCCCCTGCCTCCTGCTGCCCTCTGGGAACTCGTGTTTCCATCTGTCTGATTCCTTTCTGTGCGTGTGCAAACGCACAGCAACGTCCAGCCTTTCTGCACCTTTAGGATCCATCCAGCTCTTTTTTCTTTAAAGGATGGAAGTGGGACTTCCTCCTTTTTTTTTTTTTTTTTTCTTTTAAAAACAGAATCTGACTCCCTTTGAAGTCCTAAGTCTGGATCTTTTCCCTCCACACCTTTGCAGTCTTGCACTGATTGCTTCATGGCACCCAGTGTGAAGGAGCTCACAGGCTGTGCCAGTCCGGCATCACTACACAGCTGGAAAGTGGTGGTTGAAGCTGCAGGCAGTTCCAGCCCTTAAAAACACTGCAAGCTGCGTGGCTGGGCCTCCAGGAAGCACGAGGCTCAAGCTGGTTCCCAAGAGGGGAGGGTACCCTGCGGGGCTCTTCCCCTTCTAGGCACTTGCCTACCTGGAAGAGCCTGCAGTGGGCACAAAGCTCCTCCAGGCCCTGGGAGGAGAGAATGAGGATCCATGAGTGCTAGGGCCATCAGAGAGCCCAGGACTCGGGAAACACCATCCAGGAAGCCTGTGGTGGCCTGGGTGACACATAAGCATTTACTACTTGCAAAACAAGGAAGCAGCAACAGCCCCTCCACCTGTCTTTTCCCCTCCTGAGCCAATCACCGCTGCCTTGAGGTTTCTGCGTCCTGGTGGGAAGAGGTGACAGTAGAGCAGCCTGGTTGCTGCTGAGAGGGGGAACCTGCTGTCCCTGCCCTCCCTGAGCTGGGGCAACACAGGCCACTGTGGACTGAGCAAGTGAGGAACAGTGACTGAGGTGGAAAGCACGCAACCTAGATCTTCAGCTGCAAGAAATTCTCACAAGTGGGTGGACAGGGAAGAAGAGAAGCTCTAGGGAGCTCTCCAAGCAGAGGGGAAGCAGCATCCACTCATCCTACCGCTGGGAGTGCAGAGAGGGAGGGGCAGAGGCCTACGGCAGGCTCCAAGGCGCAGGAGCTGCGGGACAGAGGGCGACAGTCAAAGAAGCACTGTACTAATTGCACATCAGCAGCATTGTTAATTCACGTATTCACAGTCCTCAGTGCGATGGAACTCACACGCACAGGCTGTGCTGGTTGTTTGAACGGCATCACTACACGGCTCGAAAGTGGTGTTCGAAGCTGTGGGCAATTGCAGCCCTCAAAGACACAGCAGCGGCATGGCTGGGCCTCCGGGAAGCACAAGGCTTGAGCTGTTTCCCCAAAACATAGGGCACATGCTCACATTAAAAAAATTTATTACAGTGACAGACAAGATGACATTCACCCCCTCAGAATCTCACCCTCACTCTGGACACCCTTGTCCCCTCCTGCTCCACACCTCCTGCAGCAGCTGGGGTCCTGAGGGTCTTTAGCTGAGTGGTCCCAGTTGTCTCAATGTCCAGAGCCAACTCAACGTTTCCCTGTCATGGTCATTTTGAGTTTGGGAAGGGCTGGAAGACATGGAGCCAGATGGAGTGACGAGGTGTCCAGCTTCTGGGCGCTGCCTTTCTGTTGGTGACGCTTGGCAGGAGCAGCCACACCTTTGATCACACGTCCTAAAGACCTCAAGAACGAGGACTCAGGGCTGCTCTAGACAGTGGCCTGAAGGCCGGATAAGTGTATTTGAAGTGAGGGGGAGGATTCTGAGAGGAATTCATGGAATGTGTGTGTTGCCATAAGTTTTAGAACATTTTTGAAAAGCTTTCTCCCCTTTTTCCCATCACACCTCCGATCTGCACTGCTGGCTTGGGAAGCCAAGCGGGGGTGGGGGGTGGGGGGCTTGGTCACCTGACTCTGCCTGTCTCCTCACAAAATCTCAGCCTGCTCTTCAGCTACACAGGGGAGCAGGGGCTCTGAGGTCCACCCGAGGGACAAGGGGACGACCAGAGCTTGGATTTTTCAAAGGAGGCCCTGTGTCTTAAGAAGGTAAGGCCGAAGTGATGAAGCTAGCTTAAAAGGAAAACCGGAAAAAAAATTTTATATATACATATTTTTTTTTTTTAAATATATGAGACAGGGTCTTGCAGGGACTTAAAAGTACAATAA